GTGTGTGTGTGTGTGTGTGTGTGTGTGCGCGCGTGTGTGTGTGGAAGGAGGGTCTCCTAAAAGTGTATGTTTTGTACACTCATGAAAATGTTGAGAATTATGAATGACTCCTTATATCTTAACTTTGTTTTGTATGTGGATTAAAAACACACAAGAACAGAGAAAAGTCAGAGAGCTGGGCAACTGTTTAATCATTCTAACAGGCCGTTTGTCGAATCCAAAAGTAAGCTCTTTTTGAATGATCTTCATGGTAACTGATGCTGGCCCCATCACCAGATCTAAAGTGGTTTTGGACACATTATGTATTAAAGATAACGTTGGAAAAAATGGAGATTAGATGGTTCAAATGGCGCTTGTGTGCAAAAGGAATTCTATGTTGTTTTGGGTATGTGTACGCAAACGGTTCTCTACACAGTGTATGCAGGGCAGAGAGAACTTTCAAGTCAATATTGGTTCGTTATCATAATATTCATTTTGTTTGATCCATCCATTTTCTGTACACGCTTCTTCCTTTCAGGGTCGCGTGGGTCACTGGTGCCCATATCCAGCAGTCACAGTGCGAGGGGCGGGGTACTTCCTGGACAGGTCGCAAGTCCATCACAGACATTTTATTTGAGTAAATGAAAAAATAAAAAAATAAATAAAAATAGTGTTTAGAACTGAGAAAACTAACTGCTTGAATGTACACTGGTAGTATAATTTACGCTTTTTAATACACAAGTGCAACTATGGGTAACGGGGACACTTTAAATAAAAAGTGATCTGGGCACTTAAAGGAGACATATCATGCTAAATGCATTTTTTTGCATTTATAAACTATTTTTTGTGCAATTATAGTGTCTAGGAGTGTAGAAAACTTTAATTTATTCTGTCCAGTTAGTGCAAATATATTTTTATATTATTTTATGTGTCAAATTTTTCATTTTGTTCAAAATCTGCTGTTGCTTATTTCATCTCATTGTTTATTTCGTCACATTTTTTTCTTCGGAACTACCATTTACGGTAATGTATTTCCGGCCAACTGGATTTCATAGTCTGCCATTTTTTTCCTCGCTGTGTGATTTTGTAGTTCATAGCGTCATGCTGAATAAGCAAGTTCAGAAGTCAAAATGTTCGGTTCTGGGGTGTGTAAACCTACATTATTATCTGAAAAGACTACCAGCGTCAGAGCTTCTTCAAAGTGCCTGGTTAAGTTTTATTTTTCAAGGAAATGTACCCAAGCTGAAGAAGGGAGAAGGCACAGCAAAGCCTATCAGAACTCCTGAAACCCTWAGTCTTACCACATTAGTCACTTTTAGTATGCCAACTTGATTTCAATAAATCAAAATCATCCATATTTAATTATGACTCCCTTATTCAAAGTTGTGTCACAAGGGCATGTGATGTGTGAGAGTGTTGAATGAGAAACTTTTCCTCACGATGTTAAACAAAAATTACAAAAGTAAGTGACACTTTACTGTTTCTACTACGCAAAGACTGTGTACATTTTAATGTTGTTGATGTTTTCCAGACTGCACTGTGGATTCATCTCCAGTTGCCCCAGACAAGGCCAGCATCTCCACACCACCTCCTGATGCACGCGTCTTCACACCACCCTCTGCACCACACCTGAACTCAGTACACACCCAGTGGGAGGACCCTTCACAATAGGATCACACATACTTCCACACATCTTGCAGAAAGGACGTGCAGGACAAGATGACTCAGTGTGATGAGGTTGCATTTCATTTTACAAAAAAAAAAAATCAGGATTTTTACTGTGTTCTGTGTACTTTTAAACTTCAATTTTTGTCTTAAAAACATTTCACTGCATGTTGAACTTTATGTATGTGATAAATGTATTTGATTTGATTGCTTCCATTTTTTATCTTCTGTTGCTAACATTTTATGAAGGCAATGCATTCCACATACAGAGAAAGCTATTGAACATGTATAATTTTGCATTTTAGGTAAAAATGATTTTATCAAAACCATAAATGTAATTTGACACTTTTTTATTGTTTATCAAGGAGTAATAAAGTACATAAATTCTTACATTCATTGTTTTCAGTACATCATCATGTCACTTTCCAATTAGTGTTTTCTGGAGAAGGAAAAGTGGCYGAATTTGTGCTTTGCTAACACCATCTATGAAGTCTTTGTATGAAAGATGATGAGGTGTGTTTGGGAGTACTTCTGTCGTTAAAGCCCTGGAGTTAGAGTTGAAATGATGCTCTTCCTTGTGATGTTTGAAATTTATCTGGCTTAGACGTTTGGGTTCCAGGTTCTTTGCTGTCCCACAGACCTGTGACATACAATATTA